AGGTACCTAGAAACTTACTGGAAACCAATGCAGCTCTCAAAGAATAGGTGTCATTCTGTCAGATTGTCTGACCCACTATTTAATTGTAGTTTCTAAATCATATTCATAGGCAACTCCAAGAACAGTGCCTTTACTGTAATCCTGTAAAACAGGGGTGTCAAACTGAAGGTCTGCGGGTCAGATCCGGCCCGCAGGGTGTTTAGATCTGGCCCTGGAAACAGCTAAGGACTAGCCCACAGTGCCTTTGCCAGCAGAAACAGCTCAGGAGGGCTGCGTGTGCCCCTCCCCAAGCTCTGCAACCCTCTGCCAGCAAAAGTGGAGCTCAGGACGGTCGAGCTCCATTTTCGCTGGCAAAGCTCTTGTGCCACCACAGGTGCCCCTGACACAAGTGATGTTGAGATGCCACGCCCACCCTGGCCACGCCCCATGCCCCCGAGGTCAAACACAACCCTGATGTAGCCCTTAATGAAATTGAGTTTGACACCCCTGCTGTAAACCATCTGCAAGGTGAGAAGAAGTGAGCGACTATTGTGAGACACTATACATTTAGTGCATTTAAAATGATAGCCAGCTCTCTGCACCTCTACTGAATTCATCTTTCTGAAACCTACTCCTTTTTGAAATGGGAAGCTAGCAAATGGGGAAATGTTATGATGGGATTGTTTTCCACTAAAAATAGAGTCACAATCTAGGAGTGTTCCAAGGTCCAGAACAATCATTAGATAGCAATAACCAATAATACTTAGACATATATATCACTCCATTGTGTTTTAAAGCCCTCTTTGAGTGGTTTACAGAGTCAGAATATTGCCCACAATAATCTGGCTCCTCATTTTACTGACCTCGGAAGGATAGAAGGCTGTATTAACCTTGGTCAGGATTGGTAACTCCTGGCTGTGGGCAGAGTTAGCTTGCAATATTGCACTCTAGCCACCTTGTCTTAACATCTAGATTGATCTATGGTAGCTTCATCCATTCTTTTTACAACACTGTTCATCATGCACCATAGTTTGGGGTTCTTTCCATATCAAAATAATGAAAAAAACCATGCCATTACTGTTTGGTAATTGCCTTGCCAGCCAAAGGCTGCTAAATTATAGGCACATAGAGCTCTAGGACTCCAGTTGGCCACTCTTGCTATAAACCAATTTATACACAGCCATCTGTTAAATGCTTGGGTTAAAAATAAAAACCCAAAAGCACAGGATGTGGAATTTGGATTAGAGTTTTGATGTGAGGGAAAAGGATTAACAGTTTTTGTCTTGTGCTATTTACATTATATAAATTCAATTTCCCAACTTGCTGCTTGTTTGATTGATTGATTGATTGACAGAGACAGTCAGACAGGAAAGATTAAGGTTCTACCTTTGTGTTTTGAGGCACAGAAACTTTCTTGGGAAATATAAAAACTGTCAATTTCAATGAGATGGAGAAAAGGTGACTTGCTCAAAAGCAAACAAAGCAAGAAAATAAACAGGACTCAACAGCTGTTTACTACCCATATGTGTGGTATCTTTAAAGTATCCATTATCTCCTGTATACATTCAATTAAAAAATATGAATGGGAATTGGTAAAATAGAATGGTTTTTCACAATGTAGTATCCACCAGGAATCATAGGCAACAGCGAAGTTGGTTAGGGATTCTAAATATTTAAGCTAACATACATACTAAGAGAGTGAAAAATATATGGGAAGCTGCACAGGTGATTTTAAGAATGCTTGAAAATTTTAATTCTTTATAACTAATGATTAAAAGTTACTTGTTCCTTAGCTCTTGTACGAATGTGAAATTTGGAATGTAATTTTTCTTCCAATTCTGTGCTTCTCTAGGTGCACTTCTCACCTTCAAAATTTTACCAAAAAGGTTTTTTAAGCCATATTTAAAGAAAAAATAATCCATATGTGAATGATTTGGGTGAAATACATTTATAAAAACAAGCTGTGACAGAAAAGCCATTTTGATGTATATTTGTGTATTTTTGTGCATTTAAAAATATTGCATAGTAGTCTGGATATTAAATTAAACGGATTTATGGGTAACATGTGTGTAATTGACACCATCTGGAAATAGCCCTACAAATATGAGAGAGACAGAATGAATGATCATGTGTGAAGCTGACAGAATGATCTATCCATCCCTAAGAAATTAATGCCAATTCAAACCCCAAAGTCAACTCCTTGGTCAAAATCCTATTATGCAACATTGGCCGCTGGGAAGAAAGTGAGGGGAAAATGTATTACAGATTCATAACAAACTGAGCTTTTGATTGCTTTAACTGTTCAATCAAATTGCTGGTATTTCAAGCATAGCTTAATTTAGAATTTGATCAGCATCTGAATCCATGGACCACAACAACAATACTAGAACTATTTTGTCAAATATCCATAATTACATTTTGTTCTAGAAGAAAAGGCCAAACACATGTGGTGTCACCACTAGGTGGCAAAGTCACCGTGAGCATGAAGCTAGTTGAAAAGGAAGCATTTCTCTCTTTAATTTTTCATGTAGACTGGAGCAGAATTTCTGTGTTCAGATCATATAGGCAATATGGAGGGGGGGAGGGGGAATCTCTTTGTCACATAATAATGTCACAACCAGAAATGAGCGAGAACAATACATTTAATCTGAATATATTTTCTTGAAGGCACCACATAGCTACTTGTTAGCTACCCAATGACGTCACAAATCCAAATAAGAATTAAAAGCAATGCTTGTTGTCCTCACACATTCAATGTTCTCACCCTATTTCCCTTGTCCACGATTTTAAGAAATTTTGCTTCCATAGTTACAAGATATTTATTGATTAATTTATATAATGTATAGGTAGCCCAACTACCAATAACACTAGAAGCCTTAAAATTAAAGGCATAAAAAAGAATCACAAATAGTCCCAGAAACTATATACAACCAAAGAAAATGCAAATAGCAGGGGCTATATTTTAATTTCCCTCCCCAAACATGGGAGAATGGCTAGAATGTAATCAGGGGAAAGCCATATGGATCTGGGGGGGGGGGGGAGGGATATGATTCCAGATTAAGTTAATTAATAGTGCGTGTATCATGCAGGGAATGAGACTTCATTAGCTCTGGTAGGACAATATATTTAAACCTCTATAATACGGTCCATGATTAACTTGGAATGGTCAAAATGTATTTTATTATAAAAATGTATAATATTGCTGGAGCAATAGCCATTGTAATAGCACTTAGACTTATATACTTCTCCCTAGTGCTTTACAGCACTCTCTGAGCAGTTTACAGAGTCAGGATATTGCCCCCAACAATCTGGGTCCTCATTTTACTAACCTCGGAATGATAGAAAGCTGAGTCAACCTTGAGTCAGTCAGAATCGAAATCCTGGCAATCGGCAGAGTTACCCTGCAATACTGCATTCTAATCAGTACATCACCATGGCTCATGTATAATGTACAAAGATTAGCTCAATGCATTGCATGTAGCTTTACTGCTATGTTCTAAGTTACGTATGTATATAGTTACCATGTTTTCCCCAAAATAAGACAGGGTCTTATTTTCTTTTGACCCCTGAAATAAGCACTTGGGCTTATTTTTGGGGAAGTCTTATTATTTTTGAGGTGCAGGAGGAGGTGAGCGTGGTTGCTGCTGTGTTGCAATATTTTTTGGGAGGGATTATTTTGGGGGGAGGGATTATGTTAATGCATGTGCTCAAAATCCCGATTGGGCTTATTATCCTGGGAGGTCTTATTTTGGGGAAAACAGGGTAATAAGTTCTCACAGGAGTCAAGTGAGCTGACAGAAGGCCACAATAGGGTTAAAAGACATCCAACACATAAACACTACCAATGTATCATGATAGCACCAATCAAAGGGAGCAGGATAAATCTCCACATTCCCAAAGGCATTCCTAAAGAGCAAAGTTGTCATGGCCCTTCAGAAGCCCATTCAACTCGAAGAGGAAAAATAATGAGGAATATCTGTTCCAAAGGAGGGAGCCATCACTGAGAAGACTAACCCTCATGATCCCTATAGATGACATCTCTTCAAATAAGAGTTCCTCAGGAAGCCCATTCTTCCTGATCTCACCGGGCAGGCAGATTCAATCCAGAGAAGATGGTCTCATAGGTATTTAGTCATGAAGTGCCTTCAATTTGATAACATTGAATTACACCTGAACCCAAGAGGCAATTACATTTGCTGCACTCCTTACCTCGTATCACTGAGATATCCCTCAAAGCAATGGAATGCTCCCAATCCTTGAGCCTCAGATCCTCAGTCACATTGTTCAGAATGGCCAGCTCATGCTTGAGCTGCTGTTCCATGGCGATGTGGACAAAGCGCATCTGCCGAGCATCTTCTGAGGCATTGCTGATAAGGACTTGCAGGTCCTGGATACGGGTGTGGTGGATTCCCACGTCATAAGACAGAGTCCGGTTCATGCTACCCACATGCCCACCTACCTCTGTCAGTTGGTCATTCAAGCTCTCCACTTGAGATGCCAGTTTAGAGAGTAAGTCCTCGTGGTGCCTCAGAAGCAAACTGCTACTATTTCCCTCTACAGCAAGCTTGTAGATTTCCATTTGTGCCAGGTCATTTTGCTGGCTCAGGCTATCCCGTAGGCCAGAAAGGACTTGATCTGCCTGAGTTGCCTGGGTCTGCAGGCTCCTGAGTGCCCCTTCCAACTTCTGAAGTGAGCGGCTCAATATTAGCAGAGAGTCAGAATGATTCTGGAGCATGTCCTGCAGGCTCCAAATTTGGTCCAGGAAGTCTCCTTTGAAGGGTAACTGCTTCCCTGTTTTCAACTGAAGATTCTGAAAACTTTCATTTAACTGGTTCACATTTCCCATTAGCATTTTCAGGTCTTCAGGAGATCTCTGAGGTCTAGAAACTAGAAAATATAGAAAGGAGATAGCAGAAATTAGAGATAAGAACAGAGCTAAACATTCTAGAAATGACAGAAACAATTTGAGGTGTATTTTCACAATCATCAGATTCATTTCCAGGGCTTTTTAATAAAAATGGAAGAAGGTTCCTTCAAACTACCTTGATTTCTAAAATCACTGATTTAAGAGATTTCATGGTTCATACTTCACATACAATCAGTGCTAGTTCTCTTTGGAGCACTTTCTTAGCTTTTGTAGTCTGAAGGACACAATCCAAGATCTGGGTAGCATGGACATTTGTAGTATGATAAAGCTAAGGTTAATGTAGATTTTAAAAATTATTATGCTAGAAATGCTGTGGGTATACTGTAATATACTTAGATTTAAATAGGATATTCAATGAAGTAGACCACAACCGAATTCTTGATAAGCTAGAAAAATATGGGATAGACATAACCACCATCAGGTGGATTTGTAACTGGCTGACAAATTGTATTCAACAAGTATTCATTAAGGGTACTATATATATGTACTATATGTAGCAGTGGAGTACTACCAGTTTCCATCTTAGGCCAACTATCTTAATAAATGACCTAGATAAAGGAATAGAAGGGGAACTCATCAAATTTGCAGCTGGAATAGACAACATTCCAGAAGACAAGCTCGGGATCCAGATGGATATTAGACTTGAACAATAGGCTCTATCCAACAAAATGATATTTAATGTGGAGAAAAGCAGGATTTTAAAGTTAGAGAAAGAAAACCAAAGATGCAAATACAGATTAAGCAAAAACAGTAACTGAGAAGGACCTTGGATACCGTCGCAACTGGTACGCTGCTACGGGGCCATGCGTCCACCTCGGGCATGCATCTGCGCACGCATGTGCACCCACCACCCTACAACGCTCCAGCTGCTCAGCGGAAGTCACACAGGCGCCGTATGCTGCGCATGCATGCACAAATAGTCCAGTTGGCTTTTAAAAACAGGTAAGGAACATGGGCGGGCGGGCAGAGGGGCCCACCAAAACACCGTTCCGGTACAGTGGCCGCTGCTCCCAGCTGCCACCAGTATGCCCGTACCAGGGCATACTGGCCGAAACCCACCACTGGTCCTAGTGGATGATCACTTAAACATCAGCCAGCACTATGCGGCACCAGCCAAAAAAGCTAATACAATCCTTTCTTGCATAAGCAGAGGCATAGAATCAAAATCACATGAAGTATTAGTACTGTTTTATTAAACTTTAGCAAGAAGGACTAGTGGTGACATGATAGCAGTATTTTGTTATTTGAGGGGCTGCCACAAAGAAGAGGGGGGTCAACTTATTTTCCAAAGCACCAGAAAACAAGACAATAAGCAATGGATTGAAACTAATCAAGGAGAGAAGCAACCTGGAATTAAGGAAAAACATTCTAACAGTGAGGTCAATTAACCAGTGGAACAGCTTGCCATCAGAAGTTGTGGTTGCTTCATCACTGGAGGTTTTTAAGGATAGACTGGACAGTCACTTCTCTGAAATAGTATAGGGCAGCGATGGCAAACCTTTTTTGGCTCGCGTGCAATAAGTGGGGGGAGCGCAGGGGGGGCATGTGCGGGTGTGCCGCACCCATAACGCAATGTGCAACCCTCCCAGTGTGCATGTGTGCACTACAGGTGCTCCCCCCCATTTTTTGCATGCTTTTTTTCGCCCTCACCAGGCTCCAGAGACTTTATAGGAGCCTGGGAGGGCGAAAACAGCCCCCCGGACATCCTCCAGAGGCTTCAGGGACCTTCAGGAGCAGGGGTGGGTTTCAACCGGTTCGCGGCGGTCCCCACGAACCGGTTGGTCGGCGAACCCAGAAGTAAGTAACTTCCGGGAACGGCGAAGGGCCCACCCGCCCGCCCGCGCTCCTTACCCGATTTTGACGAGTTCTGCGCTTCCATGCATGCGCAGGACGCATACAGCGCCT